GGATGTTAATTTGAATAATCAATTGTGATTCTATTTCTTGGAAAAGACTATTTCTCTATACTCAATATTACATATTTACCTTTAATTCTTTTTATTATATTGACGTCTCATACTCTTTCATTGTCGATATTAGCATGTCTAATGTTTTCCTCATTCAGCTCATATTTAGGCAGTTAGGTTGATGAAACCTCAAGTGTGTAGCTTGTTAAATGTCTATGAGACACAATCTCTCAGCAAACTCCCTTATCAACTGTCTTTAAAAGTTATAATCTTTTAAATCCCTAATCCATAATGCTTCCAGATCTTTAGGTGTAGAAGCTGTTTTGTAAATGTATCTTTTGGAACTGGTTTCCACAACTCTACAGGTTGACTGGCTGAAGCTTTCTGTAATAGTTTCCATCCTTGCAAATAGCAGTTTTCTTGATAAGAGTTGAGGATGTAGATATGTTTGAATATAAGAACACATACTTAAATTCATTCTTTTTATACCAGCTTTAAGAAATATGTGTTAATGGGTCTATTTAATTTTGTCATATCATTTACTATTTATCCTCTGTGTTGGTAAAAAGGAAGGAGTAAGTCTTAACCTACCATTTTGGAGACAGATATTTATGCAGAATTGCTTTGGGGACAGTAATTTATCATTGTTAAGCCAATGTTATATAAAGTTATAATTTATGACATAATTAAGTAGATTCTGTTAAATGTTAATCTTAATTAGTTTAATTATTATCATTGTCCTTGACTGCCCCAAGGTATTACTGCTGGCTTTTGTGTTTGGTAGAAAATATGTAACTGATGGACTTTTCTATACAGAAAAGTAGAAAACTGATTAGTAAAATTAAGTTAGGCTTTCCAAAGTGACTGCAGAAATTTGTACTTCCACCAGCAATGGAGGAATGTTCCCGTTATTCCACATTCTCAACAACATGTACTTTCTTTTCTTAATACTTGCGTTCCATGTTAGTTTCCTAAGGATTTTGAATTTTATTTCAGATTATTCATTCTGACCTTATCCTAATAATTTTTACTTATTTTCTTCTCTCTTTCTCACTTTTGTCTGTACACTCATATATATTACATGTATCAGGATTGTTTTAAAATTGATAAGCTTTACCCTTCAATAGTTCTTTATGCATTAAACCATGTAGACAATGCTGTAAAAAAAAAAAGATAATTCTTGTTCTTAACAAATCTTTGATAATAATACTTCAGTAATGATGGGCATAATTTTCTATTAAATATTTAAAGCTATTAAAGTAATGTAACTGAAGAATTTATTTTCAAATTTTGTTTGAATTTAATGCATTATATTTATATTTAAATATCAACATGCAATTGACTACTGCCATCCACACTAGAGATCATAACTGAGTTTTTTAATTCTGGCCATCTGTCATATTATCTGGTCTTTAAAATAAATGTGACTTTTATGATTTACTTCTTCATTAAATTACTAATATGATTAACTTCCCATGGATTGCCCATGGACATGGCATAAATTATAAAAACAATAGAAAGTATTAGGTCATGGGAATTTTTTTTTGATGTGCTTCATTAAGAAAGTTTTACTGTCCAGACTTTAATCACAGCCAGTAAAACTCACCTGTTTTCTATAAACTCTGTGTTGATATTTATCTGTTAGACCCTTTACCATGACCAAATCAAAGTCCAGAGGAAGTCTGCTTCAAAAATTGCCTGGAAAATTGTAGTTGAATATCTAAATAATTTCAGTCTATGCGTGGGGTGAAATCACAAAACTCAATATGGGAAATTTATCTGAGAAACCAGTTGAGGCAGGTGTGTTCTTTTATAGAAGATATAGAAAGCACAATAAAGAGCCAATCTTACTCATTGAGTGTTTATTTTTATTGTAGTAGACCTTTACTTTGAAGACTACATGATGTTGGGAGTATCTGACAGTAAAAAGTTGATGACTCAACATATTTCTTCATATAGTTTGAGTTAAGATATGGGTAAAAATATTTCCAGTTAAGGAACTAAGGCTTTGCACATAAGTGTAAAAATGAATCAGAATTTTGCTCAGAAGGAGTGATGCTGCTTCTGGATACAAGATTAATACTGTCTGGAAGTGAGTGGGTGTAGTAATAAGTGTGGTGGGGATTTGATTGGTCCTTGTAATGGTTAGGGTTCTCTGAGGGACAAAAACTTATCGAATTATATAATGCATATAATGGAGGGGGATTTATTAGAATCATTTACAATCTGTGGTCCAGCTAGTCCAACAATTGTGTCTACCAAGGAAATGCAAATAATCTGGTAGTGTTGAGTTCAAGAGACTGGATATTTTAGTCAGTCTTCTAAATTTGCCAAATCTCAAAGAAGTCGGCTCTCATGCCTGCAAAAGAATGAAATTGCTGTGGAGAGCATTCTTCTCTGCCTCAACTCTTAGGAACGAAGCAGACCTTCTAGTCTTCAGTTCCTACTCCATCCCTTTGTCTCACTCCAGAACACATGAGGCAGTCTCTCCATGGAAACCCACTGGACAAGATAGCCAGGTAATCAGGTAGGCAAGTTTCTCCTTCCAATTCTCCTATTCACATTCCTCAGTCTTTTCCATGACTTTCCACTTTCTTCTTGTCTGCCCTCATTCTTAGGGATATAAACAAATATTCTACCATACCTTTTTCCTTTCACATCATCTTTCAGGCTTAGCCTCCAAAACTGAAACAACTGTTTCCTTGAAAACGTGCTGGCCCTGGTAGCCACGAAATCTGGTATGGAGTCTTCCATTCCAATCCCATATTCTTATTCCCAGACCAGCATTTCTTTCTTTCTTCATCCCTGCAAAATCCATAAATCCTCATGTCAAATTTAACATTTTCTCTCTATCTTGTGGAACCTCTCCTACATCCATCCTATCCCATTCTTTTTCCAATCAGCTTCCACTACCTAGAAAGAAGTTCTAGTACTTCATGTGATCACAAATGTCAGGAACTCAGAATCAGTCCATACCAAGTAACCCACAGCCACTACATATTACTAACTACCAGATGGAATAAAAACCAAAATCTCAAAAAAAAAAAAAATCAAACAATCAAAGAAAAGAACAGAACAAAGCACATACAATATAATCAACCCAAGCCCAGATACCTAAATGTCAGCATAAAAACATCATCAACAGCCAGAATATTATTTCACTATTAGAACCCAGCAACCTTACTACAGTTGATATTGAGAAATCCAATACAGTTGAAAAATAAGTCATGTACTTCAAAATAGCTCTTTTTAATATGTTCTATTACTTTAAAGAGCATATTAAAAAATCCATTAGTGAAATCTATGAAAACAAAAATGAAGAATAGGATTAAAGAAAGTTGTTCAGTACATGAAAGTAGAAATAGAATCAAGAAAAAATTCCAAAATTATGGAAAGAATAGAAATAAAAAATTGAAACTAAAAAAGGAACTTATTAATAATAATAAGAGATGGAATAGAATATTTCAGGCACTGAAGACAAGAGAGAATAAATGGATACTCAGGCCAAAGTAAATGTTATTTCTAAGAAAACTCTGGCACAAAACAGCCAGGAAATCTGAGTCACCATGAAAAGCCAAGTCCCTGAATAATAAAAAAACAGAAGGAGAAGAAACTGAGGTCAAAACTCACTAAATATTTACAATGATATCATTGAGAAAATTTCCCTAACTAAAAGGAAGATATGCCTATGAAGGTACAAGAATCATATAGAACAGCAAATATACTGGACAATACAAAAAATATCTCCCTGACACATAGTCATGAAAACATTATGTCCAAAATAAATAATAATATTAAAAGCTGCAATGGAAAAAGAGCAAGTAACATATAAGATATACTTCAGACCAAAACTGAATGGGAAGAGATAAGGAAGTTTCCAATATATCCAAGGAAAAATCCACGAAGAAAATACTTCAATTCTTAAAACCTTTCACCAAACATATGGACACACGAGATCATAAAAGATATACTACTACAGTTTAAATCACATACTGACTTCCATAAAGTAAAATTAGGTGACTATAGCATTCAAATTTCATCAAAATGTAGGTTATTAAAAAAACTGAATTGAGAAATCTTGAGCCTAAATAATGTCGCTAAACAAATGAACCATTATCTGTAACAGATATTTATAGAACATTTTACCCTAACACAGAAGAATGTACCTTTTTTTCAGCCAAAAACTCTTGTCAAAACTGAGCATATATTTGGACAAAATAAAAATCTCAACAGACAAAATAGTATTCAAAAATCTCCCTATTGACCTGGCATATTTCCTTTAGTGTTTTAAATAGGAAGCTATCTATACATTTTCTTGAAATTTTATATATTCACTTCTATCATTTCCAGAAATTCTATGAAACGAAATAAATGTTTATATTGATACAAAACATATTTTAGCAACGTAATGTGTTCAAATTTGGAGGAAATGCAAATATTAGGAGGCAAATGCAGAGACAAGATGCTGAGTACCCTTCAAATGGAATAATATTTGATAGTAAAAGAGTATTCATTCATTCTTTATAAACATGGGTAATTAGCAATCATAGACTTGATAATTGAATGAAAATGAAAACAAAGCATACACAAATATATAGGACATAAAGAAGGTAGTTCTCAGATGCAAACTCATAGCACTAAGAGCTAACATAATAAGTTACTGTAGAATTTCACCAGGGAACAGCCTCAGCAGAGAAGTGGGTCTCGAATCTGGGATGTCTGGAAGGCGAAGTGAGTACATGAACACAGGATTCTGATGCAAGCTGATTGACTATCGGTTGCAGGAAAGGTTCTTCTTCTACCCTGAACTGAAAACCTCAGTCTTTATTGTAAATTTTACACAAGGAAAATATTCTTTTTTCTTGTCACAGGATAATCATTACATGGGCAAAGCAGTTCACAAAAGTACAAAGATTCTTTGAAATCAGAGCATCACCATTAATCATCATATATTCCCAGGTCCCAATCCCCATGCCAGCTACTATATTCTTGATTCTTAGTTTAATTAATTATAAAACAACTTCTGAGCTTTCTGGGGTGAGCAATCACCCCAGAGGTTAATTGCTTGCAGTTTACAGCAGCATAGTTTGGTCGGTTTTACTCCATTGCCGTACCTTTCCCTTAGCTGTTCCTCACAATTCCAATACATATCATTTTGATTTATAGGGCCATAGGCAGTCAGCCCCCAAGCCTTGGGTTCTTCAGAAACTTTATTCATCATAGCCAAGTTCCTTTCTCTTTAAGTATTATTCTTTTGCCAAATTTTATAATAAGGCAAAGAACAATTTCTATATTTTTCCACATTTCCCTAATTCTTTCGGAGTCAGGTATTTTTTTCTCGTGACCTGCTTTACAGATCTAATGCATGCCCATTCTATCAGATAAGGAAGACTCATATTATTGTACAGCACATTCATATTTTCATAAGGCACTAGTGTGGAAGGAGAAAAAGAACATGAAGAACAAGTATACTAGTAGAATTGCTGCAATCAGAATAATCTGTAAGTGTTGGAAAATGCATATGCGGATCTCATAGAAGCAGTCCTCGGGTCACATAAGATGTTATCTTTTTGGCACTCAAGTAACAATCTCATGTAGCTGCTACTGGGTTGGTTGCCTGGAGGGAACTGATTCTTGCATCTCAGAAACCACACTTGGAGGGGAGCTATGCTTTGCTCTCTCCGACAAGATTTCATGTTTGTAACAGAAAATCACAGGTGGAAGAAATAAAACAAATGGAGAAATAATATGCCAAAGGATTAGATAGCAAGATATTATCAAATTCAGTATACTGGTTGTAATCCTATTTTATATTTGATATTTCTTCTTAGTGTATATAGTTTTGTATTAGGTTTGGAACTCTCTTATTTAGACAAAAGGGGTAGGTGATGGGAACCTCCTCTGACCAATGACCTTGAAGAGGCTGGATCGGGTTAGGGTGTGGCCTTTTGGGTACCCAGAGTCAACCCTGGCCCACCCAGGGCTCGCACTTTTTCTCTCTCTTGTTCCAGCATTACACACCTGAGGTTGGACTTTTTGTTCCTGTTCCGTAAGTTTGCCCTTTATAAAAAAAGAAATATAGCTGGAAGCTTCAAGGAGTCAGCTTAGGATTCTTTGACTTTTATACTCAACCCCTTTTCAGCAACAATCAACAAAACCTGGGTATTTTGTACACACACTGACAAATTCTGTGCATTAAGAGAAAATATAAAAATCCTTAAAGAAATGAATCTAGACACAGGCCTCTTTATTACCTCTTTGGCATAATGTGCAAAGAATTTTCACTCTATCTTCTAACTCTTGTGTCACTTTTTTTGTGACAGTAAGCAAATGATAGTCGCTTCCCACTACACAGTAATTTTGTACTTTTTCCTGTGCAAATTGCAGCCAAATAATTATTAGTCATAAAAAGGATTCAAAAGTACACATGGTACTCTGTTTCAGAAATAATTTCTGGATTCATTCCTGTAATAGGAATCTAAAATTTGAGACTAGCTGAGATAATTTAGTTTGACATACATATTTTAAATTCTAGAAAAAAATGCATGTATACATGTATAAAAATACATATATGCACACAACATGGAGAGGTTCGGAATACAATAAAATAAAATTTACCAGTATTTTTAATATATACATACATTTATACACATATATTTTAGAATAAATAAATGATGAATGTAATATATATATTATAGGACGGCATAGATTTATTAATAAACTTATACTTATAACATGTAAGTACTTTAAAAATCTTAGTAACTCTGACTTTATAATTATAACTAGATATTTTATTATTTTTATTTAATTTTTCTATTATTGAAAATATATTTTTAGATAATATTCTAAACATGGTTTCTTTCCCTCTACTACTCTCATCTCCTCTTACCTATCGCCCTTCCCGACTGTGTATGCCCCCTTTCTGTTTCTCATTACAAAGCTGGCAGGCTTCTAAGCGATAATTATAAGTAATATGTAACATAATAATTTAAAACAAAGCCAAACCCATCAGAATTGGAAACAAAGAAAGAGCAAGTTAAAGGCATAAGATTTAGAATCAGATGCAAAGATAACACATCCATACACTAGGGAATCCCTTAAAACACAGGGGAGGAGATGGAAATTTTTAATTAATTAATTAATTAAAAAAACAACTATGATTCTACTTTAAAATAGAAAAATATTTTGTGTACTTTATGCTAATACTCAACTAGGGTGTGATTTTTGTGAAAAAATGTAAAAATTATTTACTTATTCGAATACATGGAAATATATGTAGATATAATGGGAATAAGATTCTTCATGGGATAATTCATGGGATAATGTAGATATATGTGTGTGAATAAGTTAATAAAATTTAAACTACATAAATTTATAAATTACATATATACATATATATTAATCTGAATGGTCTTAAGTTTCATGAAGCTTAAAAAGATCTTGTCATAAATGTCAAGAATCTTAAAACTAATCTGTATGCTATAAGTATGTGTATCAAGTTTATGAAAATATTTTTAATCAATAGAGTTAAATAGTTCATAGTCCAGAGTCTCTTTCACAATTCAAATGAAGCACAGCAGTTTGAAATACTAGCTAGACTCAACTAGTGTATAGAATAATTTGTAACATTGTCGGAGTACAGTTAGGTTTCAAGTTCAGGTAAAAATGCACTTATCTTTTTGAAAATATACTACAAAAAGAGATGCCATGTGACTTATTTTTCTCATTCATTTATATATAAATATTTATGTTCTGTATTCACAATTATAAACTGTGAATATCTATTTAGCATCAGCTTAT